CCCCAAAACCCCAAAACCCCAAAACCCCAAAACCCCAAATGTCTAAAAATCTTTTAAAAAATTATTAAAAATAAATTTAGCCTTCAAAATGGGGTCGACTCCTTCCCGCTCCTCTGGCAATATTCATGCCAGGACTGAAACTTCTTCAGAGCCTCAATTCTCGGCTTACTTCCCAAAGCTATTCGGCATTCTTCAGAGCGACACAATTCCTTCTATTCTTTCAGGATGTGAGATCATGCAAGAAGCGTACCCAGAAATTGAAGAACAGATTTACCAAGTCTGAAAAGATGAACTAGATGGTAAGTTTAACCTAATTTTTAGAGGTCATCGGCAAGGATGTCATGGACGAGCTCATTAGCTATGGACATTGATACCTGCATATCCTCATGGTGGTGTATAACTGATATACAGATGAGAGATTTCAAGATCTTTTGCCTTCCCATCAGAATCAACTCCTTTGGGCAGCATTACTCCATGATATTGGAAAAAGAGGCAAGCCTGTCTTTGAAGGAAAGGATCATATCCATCCTTTTCGAAGTGCAGGCATTGCTATGGAAATATTTGTTAAAACAGAGTTTATTCAAGAGAAATATAAAGATAAAGCTCTTGAACTCAGTGAGATTACTCTGGAAGCTTATAAAGAGATTGATTGCCCTAAATTTAAACGTAAACATCGCAAAAACTGGGACAAAATGTGACAGCATTGTCACGATCATTCACAATTAGAAAAGATTTTTGAATATCTTAAATATGTTTCACAAGGAGATTCTTTCATTATAAATACTTTTGCTTTAGTACTTTTCCACCAGAGTATTTATGGTATAAAATGCTACCGCCCAGTGGTAGAAATCTCAGATGAAGACATTAAGAAGTATATTGATCCTTCCACACTTGATATGTAAGCTCCCTGCTTAATTTCTCTAGGTATGAAATCATCATGAATGCAGATAGTCATGCGTATACCATTATCGGAGTGGATCAGGTACTTGTGAAGAAGTATAAGAAGGAAATTAGCAAAGAGATAAAAAGAATTAAAATAGAAGTTTTTGAGCAAAAATAAAAATAAAAAATCTGATCATTCTAATGTAGATAGTAGATAGATTTCTGATAGTTTTTGGATATAAAAAATAAGAAAATAAATTCTGAGGAGAGTCGGATGAAGGGAGTTTGAATGGCAGCCTGTTTTTGAAATGTTCTGGCAGCTTTACAAGCCTATCTTTTAAAGGAAAAATGAATCTAGTAATATTCTAGCAGCTTGTAGCTGAAGTATCTAGTTTCCATGATCTTAAAATCCTTCTAAACTTATACAATAATAGTAACATTTTTCAACCCTAATACCCATAATAGGGGTTTTGGGGTTTTGGGGTTTTGGGGTTTTGGGG